GTTTTATTTAAGAAAGGACTTGCATCGCTAAAGTTTCGTCGGAACGAAATTTACGGAAAATTAACTAACGAACGGAGGTGTAACACTATCATGGAAAATAATTGTTTCTGTTTAGAATTGATCTACCACGGCTAACAAAGCAAATAAGGTGTTCACCTTCGTATTTATAAATATTTCGCTGCCTACGTTTCATCGAGTGCAATTTGAAGAAAGAACAGCTCACTTCCAGTAAAAGTGACAGTCCAGCGTCTGAAGGAAGTACAAACACTTTGTTAGTGTTCTAAATACTACAGTATCCGGTCTCTTTATACCCTTTTCACGAACTCACTCAGTTTCATAAAAATTCAGAACTACTGAGAAGCAAATGTCTTGTTCGAATAACCCGTCATTCTGCGTACGTACATTGTTACTATCGTGGGAAATCAGTTTCATCTGAGAATACTACACTATGTTAATCATCGTAGTATTATAGGAGTGTTTGTGTACATATATTGTTTCATTCAGTAACAACGTGATTACTACATACTGTTGCGTCAGCGAGGTCAAGTGACTAGTATCACGCCACCTCTTTCTGGAAATCTCGTGATCCTTCTAGATATAGTGTAGTCTTGTATATAAGACCGGCCACGAAGCGACGGGACAAGGAGTAATTGAACTGCAGTCAGAGAGTGTGTAATTGAACGGAGTATTGTTGAAGTCGAGCTCGTGAGACGTGAGTCATAGCGTTTTTTATAGAGCGACTGTTGAAATTAAGTGTATCGTAAAGTTGTATTCGGAAAGAATAAACCAGTTTTATTTAATAAAAGACTTGTGTCGCTAAAGTTTCGTCGGAACGAAGTTACGAAAAATTAACTAACGAACGGTTATACTGTTATAAACCTCAAGGTGTTTAATGGATTCCACAAACCATCTATTTAAGCTACTTTCCAGTTTTATCTATAAAAAAAAAATCGTATATTTAACTCATTCCATGTGCCTTACTATTACATGCACGTATTAATAAACATAGAGATTTTTGTGAACATCCGTTAAAATGTTTGTTTTTTCTCTCTCTCTGTATCAATATGGGCATACATATATATATGGGCATATGTGTAAGTTTAAAGTTCTGTTCCATTTATGATTGAGGCGCCCTCTTCAGGTAGTATGCAATACGACTCGTTATTTGCGATCCGCTGTAGTTGGTCTGAAAAGGTTTGATATAAAAGTTAAAAGGTGAGCGGTTCGGCCGTTGAAACGGTATTAGAACAATATAGGAGCGGTGTTCATGTACTTGGATTCCATTTAGTGCCTCATATCAACAAAAGAAGACATTAGATACAAAAGAATTAATAATACAAAAACTATATAGGATTTAAAACCATCGGTAAGTGAGAATTATATGTATGTGTGTGTCGTTAAGTCTATCGGTATCAGTTTGAAGATATCTTTGGCTCTCGGTTACAATTACAAATAAATGTTTAGACTTCTGAGAGCGAGAAGACAGGCCAGAAATCGTGAGCCACCACTGGCCACATCTACACATATGTAATATGTTTTTCAAAGACGTTCACTTATGCACGCTTTCTGCAAAATATATTGTATGTTGAAATAACATAAATACCCAAATTTAAAAAAAATCACGGTTAATCAAGCATAATAAAGATCAAAATGAGATCAGGCTGGTTGAGTGGTCTCTTCGTATGACGTCACGTATTACTATTACTTTGATATGTTACGTTATAGTATACAACCGCTACTGGATAGTTTATTATCGTAATATATACACACCGAAGTATATCTGCGAATACGTATTTCGGTCTCACATTTAATTTTATATCCTAGCTCGTAATTTTAAACTTTTTTTACATCTACAGTTGCATTTTCAATAACTTTTAAATAATGGGCAACTTTATTCAAAAATTTATATAAGGCATGTTAAGTTCAAGAAATAAAGATAATTACATCCATGAGCCTTTAATTTTAGTTTAAATAGTGAGAAAAGTATTTATATTGATGGTTAAAAGGTTGAATGCATTATGTTCGTATTATCATAATATAAATGAAAATGGCTGATAATGTTGTCAACACAAAAATTTTGTAAACATTAAAATGTGTTGTATGAAAAATTGGAAACTTCGTGTGGGAAATGTACTAGATATGAATATTTCATTTCAATAAAATACCCAGCAAGGCATATACAATATTTTAGAGCAATGAAATATCATGTAACTTGTATACAAAGTGTAAACAGCTGTTATTACAAGACTTGGGGGCAAATACACAATTTTGGATAGGGTGATGGCCAACTCTGGCACAAGAATAAAATGACTTGTTGACCTACTTCTAATGATTGATACATGTAATTTCTTAACTATATGTTATATAATAACATGAATATATCATCATTGGTTTAAAGTGATAATGAACTTGGTGTTTTCATTAATGGCATAGAATAATTATTACTGCTTGCCTTAGGGCTTCACAAACTGAATAAATGGAAAATAATGTGGAAAAAAGTGAGTTCTGCCTTCCTGGACATCCTTGCTTATGGCCTCATTGCTATATTTACCATTTTGTAGATTCAATATGAACCTGTCTGGCACTATACAGTTGCTATAGTTACCATGTCATAGATACAATAAGAATCTGCTTGCCTGTCATGTAGACAGTTGTTACTATTTAACATAACTTATGGACAACAAGGAACCATTTGATTCTTTAAGGCTGTCCTTGTATATATATACACACACACACACACAACTTAGAAAAATTAAAATTTATACCAACTCTTTACTTTAAGGAAATTATCAATTCCTCTGTCAACTCCTGTTAAGTACTGGCCTTCGCTACTGCTGATGCAAACCATTATACAAATTAATCACTCTGTTAGAAAAATAGAACTGTCTTAACTAATGTATAATCTGTCTTTTCCAAATCTTAAACTATTGTCCTTTTATTCTGTTATATTCAGAATATAATATAAATAAACTAGAAGTCTTTATCCTATTAATATCCTGGATAATCTTGTATACTTCAATAAGATCACTTCTTACGCTTTTTTTCTCAATGGAAAGTAAGTTGAAAAATCTTAACATATCCCTATCTGTTAATCCTTCCATCTCTGGAGTCATCCTAGTAGCATTCCCCTGAACCCTTTCCAACAATTCATTATTGTTTCTTAGAAAAGGAGACCCAACTTTACACAGTATTCTAGGTGAGACCTAACTATTCAACTAGTTATTAGCAGAGATAATTTCTTATTTTGAGTTGTAATCGGTATGTCTATGGCATAAATACACCAGAAAGGTATGTTTTTACCAATAGCAACAGAACATTGCTGCAATGGCTTAAGTGACTTATTCATCATTATGCCAAGATTTTTGTTCCTTTGTCACAGTATTGAGTTGGTTCCCATTTATATTAAATGTGGGATCCAAATATAATTCAAATGCATTACCTTGCACTTACTATAATTAAAAATCATTTGTCAAACCTACTAACTGTTTTAAGTTATCATGTAATATCCCAAAATATTCAATAGTAGAAAAAATGCTCAAGAGTTTAATTTCAACAGCAATATTGATTAATTTAGTAATCATACCCTATATAATATCATTAATGTAAATAAGAAAAAGTACTCATAAGCACTGACCCCTGAGGTATTCCACAACTGATAAGGATCCAGTTTGTCTGGACTCTATTAATCCAGACAAACTGTTTTATCCTATCCAACCACTACAATCCAAGTAACTTGTTGTTTATGATTTGTGTAGTTAATCTTAGTGTGGGACCTTATCCAAAGCTTTTTGATAATCTAAGTACACTGAGTCTATACAGATTATTAAGGCACAATTTACCTTTGGCACTTCTATATTTTCTTTCACTTATAATATTATATTTCACTAAATTATCCTGTATTGAATTTTCCCCACTACAGAAATAAGACTAACTGGCTTATAATTTCCAGGGTAATTATTATCATCCCTTTTAAAAATAGGAGTAATATAAGCAACTCTACTATTGTTAGGCACCTATCCATCCTCTACTGACCTACCAAGATTGAAAGAGACTATCTTTTTCTGATATTTGACCTTCTTTGAAACCATTTTGAAAACCTTGTTTGGTCCTGGTGTTTTATCTCTCCTTTTAATTTCTAAGTTTTTCTACTGACCAACATGTGATAAATATATATGTGATTCAGATCAATTCTAATATTTCTCATTATATGCTTAGAGCCAGGAATATTTGTAAAATCTTCTCTTAAAAATGGGAGAGAAACTAGAAAAGCTGAGCTACCTCATAATATTTAACAATACCTTGCCATTAGCATCCTTTAAGGGTCCAATCTCCATTTTGTTGAAGTTTAACATACTTAAAATAAAATGTCCTTGATGTTACTTTTTATGAGCTCTTCTCGACTTCTTAATTTCTTTCATAACCAAATCCCTAGCCTTCACATAGATATATAGATCTCCCAACTTATCTGTCAATTAAAAACCTTAAATTTATGGCATTTATTCCTGATTTTCTCCTTTAAGTCGGTATTAAGTCAGGTAGGTGTGATCATTCCCATTATCCTCTTCATCTTTTCAGGAACATGCCTATCTTTAAGTAAAAGCAATTTATTTTTTAAAATTTCTAAACTCTTATTATAACTCATTATTGATAAATCTTTTTCTCACAGCCTTAAAATTGCCCTCCTGAAAATTAGGAACTAAGGGTTTTGTTTAATTTTAACTTTATATGTATCAAATTGAAACTAATAATGCTATAGAGCTTTCTTACTATGTTATAAGTATATTAATCTACCTAGTTTTTAGTCAGTTATTACTAAAGAGTTATACTTACCATGTACCAAGACTCGGGGAATCTGTCAATGAAGCGTGTGAACACCTTTTAATATGAGATCCTACTTATTAATTTATGAACACTATATGAAATTTCTATGGGATTATATTTAACATATTGCAGAGAACAATACAAACCTGTTAAATGTGTAAACAGCTATTACTATGAGATCACACAATGTTGAAGAGGATAGTATGAACCTATCAAGTGTGTGGACAACTATTAATTTGAGATCACATGATGTTGCAGAGGACAGTAGGAACCTGTAAAAGTTGTAAACAGCTATTACAATGGGATCATACAATGTCACAGAGGATAGTATGAACCTGTCAAGTGTGTAGACAGCTATTACTTTGAGATCACACGATGCTGCAGAGGACAGTACGAACCTGTAAAATGTGTAAACATTTGTTACTATGCGATTATATTTACCATGTTGCAGAGAAAATAATGAACCTGTCAAGTGTGTTCACATCTATTACTGTGGGATCACACCATGATATAGAAGAAAATATGAATCTGCCAGCTGTTTAGACAGTCATTACTATGAGATCATATTTACCATGTTGCAAGGGACAGTACGAACCTGTCAAGTGTGTAGACAGTTGTTACCTTATGATTATATTTACTATGCTGCAGAGGACAGTACAAACCTGTAAAACAAATATCCAATTAAGCCACTTAGGCTATAAATTTTATAACTAAGATTCTTACTCTACCTTAACCTCGAGTGGGGTGAAGGGAAACAACTGTTTCCCAGCACCCTCGGTTGTCTTCTGAGGTTTTCCTCAGAAGGCTTCAAACTGAAATATGTACCAGCATTTTGTTTATTACCACATTGCGAAGGACAGTACAAACTCACCTGTCAGTGGTAGACAGTATTTACTATGCATGGGGAGTAGTTTGTCCCCCTAAATTCAGTTCTTTCACCCTCTAAATGTTTTGCAAGTATGAGGGCTTTATTTCTGGATGATAGCATTTGGTGTGAAAAAGTAAAGTAATCTTAAAACTGTACTTGGGAAATACTATCAGATCATGTTTATAGACATACTACAATATTAACATTCAAAAGCTTTGCACAAGATCAATCACAAAATAAGATCCTTCTTCCTTTCCTTATAAAAATTTCTTAAAAAACACAACCCTGCCATGGAATTATACTTATTATGGTGCAGGATAGGATAAGTACCTAACTTCCTGGTTTGTAGACTTTTGTTACTATGGGTCAATTTACCATGTTGAAAAACTGTACTCTTGTTGTTGCAGGACTCAATATCAATCTGTTATGTGTTAAGAGGTCTGTAAACCTGTAGACTTACAAATTTTTCATCATTATGAGTGATGGTGACTATTTTTTGTTTTAGCACTATCATTAGAAAAGGTTCCCTATCTGGACAAAAGTGAAACCCCAGTGATGAACAGTATGTTTCTGCAAGACAAAGGACATTGGCTTCTACTGCTAAAATAGGTTAAGACCTTATTCAGCATAGATCACATCGAATACCTGTGACAAATTTCTGATATACTGTTGCCTAA